AGCATGACAATGATCCCAAACACACTGCCAATGCAGTAAACGTATCCCTGAATAGAAAAACACACAGTGAAACACTACCAGTCATGAATTGGCCTCCCCAGAGCTCGGAGCTCAACAAGCAGTGTGGGATCGTGTTGACAAAGAACAGGGAAAAAAAGGCAGCCAACATCCAAAGAAGAGCTTTAAATGTTCTTTAAGAAGCCTGAAGAACTATTCCTGAAGACTACTTAGCCTGAAATCTCTTAGACAGAGAGTTCGGGCTAAGTAGAAGAATAAAATCACACCAAATATTGCCGTTCATGTTTGTTAGAATTGTACAAACTCTGTTTTTGCCTCACATACTGTGTGTTTCCATGCATATTTTCATATGCTTCAATAAATCCCTGCACCTGTTTCCTATTTCTATAGCACAATATAAAGAAATAAGGGGTGGTTTGAGTCTTTTGCACAGTTTTTTTAAATAGGAATTGTGCTTTTTACAAGCATGGGGCTAAATTTAGCTGTTCAAAAACACAATAAACCACACAGTGATAAAACAAAAAGTAATGAAATACATCAGATAAACAAGGACTATATCTTATGGAGCTTTAACAGCAGAGCGGGCAACGGAGGAAACTATTCAGCTCAACGCTGCACTGTATTCAATACTGAATAAATTAGGTATGACACTGCTGTCTGTTGTGTTGAGCTGTAGCTCCTTTCTTCAAGCTGCTGTGGTGTTCCTAGCCTTGGGCTCGCTGTATTAAACAGAACTGTCACCAAGTTAATACCGCCATATGTTTTTCAGCAACCCATGAATAATACAAAACATTTGATTGTTTGAATAGCAGATATAAACTCGCTCAGCATCATGTGCTCATGCCAAATAACGTCCAGACAATCTGAGAGGTTTCGAGCTCACCAGGCCCCTGCAGTGATGAAAAGTCGCAGGACTCATGTATTTGGGTAGGAATCTACTGTATATGTACGCGTGCATATATGTTTTGTTGGCCATAGTGTTGACCTTTCTGTCATTTTTTTAATGAAAAATGATTTCATAGAGCATGTGTACTCACCAGTGCAGCGTCATTGCGTGCGTTTCATTCTGTGGAAACGGTAATCAAGAAGGGATTCATCCGGCTCGGCTTTTCCGTGACAAACGGCTGCTGCTGAGTGTCACAGGCCCGCTGAGAGGCCATTAGCATCCTACCTGCCTTACCTGTGGTGGTTTCTATAGAAACACATATGCGGGTGGAAGGTGTTTTTGCACTCACCTTTGAGCCTTGGTAAACAACAGGAAGTTCCCCGGTGACTAAACTGATATCGAGTCCACTCAGCCAGTCACAGCAGTGCCCCGGAGCCTGTTGGAGATATGAAATGATCAGCTGCTGGCAGAAGGACATTTGACTTTCAGATAGAGAGGAGCTTGTTAGGTGGATATACTGTACAGGAGGTGGCTCAGATAGGAGTGGGCATGTGGTTGAACACAGATTCTCCCCGGAGGTCATCCAGCATCCCCATTAACATTAACCTGCACGGTGCTCGCAGGCGGCAGACACGGTAAGAGCCGGCAATCGACTGGGCCAGGCAGCAACGCTTTTGGGAGTTCATTATGAAGGAAAAGCACGGCTGAATTTAAACAGAGCTTCACATTATACATGCTATAGGTGCTCACTGGGTATGTATAAAAACCAGTTTGTGGTGACGTCAGTCAGTTCATACTGCATTCCACTGACTGTACATATGATTACTACTATAAGCCTGGAAAATGTACATCTTCTGTTTGTATCTTTCTGTTTTTATTATGCATGTGCGGAAAAAAATGTAATGTAGCCTATAATTTGTATCCTGTCCTGCCTGCAACAGGTTACAAAACCAGTAGGTTTCATGACATCCTGCTGGTCTGTTAATGGCGGTGGTTAAAAAGAAATATTGTATAAATATACAAACAACTGCAGCAGTCTGTAACAGATATGCACTGTTGTAAACAAAGGACTAGTCAAGATTTTAGAAAAAACGATTCAACATGTATGCATGTGTGAGATTACAGCACATGCACAGCACAGAGTATTTCTAAATGTATGGCTTGAAGGGGAATGATATATCAGAAATAACCTGTATACACTCACCAGTCACTTCATAAGGTACACGTTGCTAGTACCAGATCAGCCCCACTTTTGCCTTCTTTTGTTTTAATTCCTCATGGCACAGATTCAACAAGGTGCAGGAAGCATTCCTCAGAGATTTTAGTTCATCACACAGTTTGTCAGCTGCACATCCATGATGAGAATCTCCCATTCCACTGCATCCCAAAGGTGCACTGTAATGTTCAAGAAACCAGTTTGAGCTGATTTGAGTTTTCTGACACGGTGCATTATCCTGCTAGAAGGAGCCATCAGAAGACGGGGACACTGTGGGCATAAAGGGATGGATGTGGTCAGTAGCAAAACTGTGTGTTAACAAAATGTCCCATGAAGCTGAACTGTTGATACAAGGCAGGCTAGATCCATGCTTTTGTGTTATATATACCAAATTCTGATCCAACCATCTAAATGTTGCAGCAAAAATCAAGTCTTATCAGACCAGGCAACATTTTCCCAGTCTTCTGTTTTCCAATTTTTATGTAGCCTCAGTTTCCTGCTCTTAGATGACAGGAGCGGCACCCAGTGTTGTCTTCTGCTGTTGCTGTAACAAATCTGCTTCAAGATTCAACCTGTCCTGATCTTCTGCTTACATTTGGTGTAACAAGTGGTTATTTGAGATACTGTTGTTTTTCATCTCACAGCAGTCTGGCTAGCCTATGTTTATATGGCTAGATGCATTGCTTGCTGCTGTGTGATAGGCAAGAACAAGCAGCGAACAGGTGCAGCTAACAAACTGCCGATTAAAGGAAATACTAAGGCCCACATTATTAACACTGGGCTAATTAAAATGATTCCTCCAGCTTGACCTCTAATCACTCATTTGTTGTTTATGGGCAATGTTTTTCTCTTACAGTGTTCATGTCTAGCTAAATAAGCTAGTTCCTAAACTAATGACCTTCCCATGAGCCTCTGCTGCGCTTCCTGTTTATTGCTAATTAGCAAGTGGTACAATGGCATGCTACCATGCTAAGTGGCGTTTAGCTCAAACCACCCGTATTTTCAAACACAACCTTACAGAGCTGCTAGCATGGCTCATTTTTTGAAGTATTGGTTACATTTTGTTGTATTTCCTTTCATTTTTATCACTTACATTACTTTAAATACATTTTGTATGGAAGTCATTTATTGTTTTAAAGAGTGTAAAATTAACCAAACGTGAAATCATTTAAGTTTGGATCACTTCTGAATTAAATCCCTGTATGTGTGTGTGAGGCCCGGGGAAGTCTTCCACACTATGGTGGCTCAGGACCGCGATCGAAGCCGAGGAGCTGACGGGCACGGAGAGCAGGGGATTCGGACACAGGTGCCAGGTGCAAGCGTCGGGGAGGACCGCGCCATCCTGCTGGGCTACACCATGATGGCCTTCTCTGTGCTCATGTTCTTTGTAGTCGGCATCACAATGATCAAACCCTTTGTTAACAGGTACACTGGGGAGTGTTGTCTCGTTTCCAGGCTCAGTTACAAATGCATCCCCTCACTGAAGGCTTGTTCTCCCCGTGTCTGTGCGGGTGATTCCAGGTGCTGCAGTTTTCTCAGACAGGCCAAAGACGTGT